TGATCAACGGAACAAGTAGTTTAAGTTTCTTAATTTGCCAGTCATCTAAGCTAGCTAAAATTTTACCTTTCAGACTGCTGCAGTGTGTGAGCATTACTGAAAACATGAAAACAGTTCTTAGTGTGTGTTTGCAGCCTACTTAGAAAAAAAAAACCAAACAAACAAAAACCCCCAAACAAACAACCCACCCACAACAATAAACAACCCCAAACATGAAACTGTTTCAGGGTGCATCTGGACAGTGTGTAGCCTTCTGTACCTCAGTGCACATGAAAGGTGAAATCCAACTTTGTGAAACAGGCATGGGCTTGGGAGGCTGTATTACACCACCCCAAAGATGAAGTATGCTCACTCTAAGAACACTGAATTTTAAATATGCTTTCCTGTAATGCTTGGAGTGATGTTTATCATTGCACGTATCATTGTGTCATTAGATATTGCAGTTTTCCCTCCAGTTCTTTGCATACTTGTTCAGCTCTTAATAACTCTGTAGATGCCCATGCCAAAGCAATAATATAAAGTTTTTTCTGAACTATGAGGTCTGTATATTTTTAAATTTTTCCTTTGATTCAAAGGGTGTCTGATTGTTCAAGCCTTTTGCAACAAGGTGTCTTCATTGACTGTACTTGTCTTGGCTGCCTTTGTAAAGATTAATTCGTCCTAAAACAAGAGTATGCTGCTTCAGGTTCAGTACTTAGATGCAAACAACTCTAGGAGGATTTGTGAATGCTAAATAACCAGTCATCTCCCTTGAGCATGCATGTGACCTGGCATGGATTCAGAAGCTGCTGCCATCTCTGTTCAGAGCCTTGAGCAGATTAAGTTCCAGAATTCTTCCTTCAAGCCATGTTTATTGAAGACTTTAGTTGAACTGCGCGCAGTTCATGTATTTGGCTTTCATTTATTGATAGGAAATGCATCATCGTAAGTGTGGTAGCTTTTTAGTCAAATGTCTTTGACTTGAGCGAGTTCGGATTTCTGCAGATTTACTGTTTACTTAGCAGGATAATAAGCATTGAGATTTTGGTTGTTTAATGATGATTTTTTTTTTAAACTGTCCTTGTGTCTTGTGATACAGATTCCAGTTTCTCTAGGTGATTCCCTTTTTGAGAAGCAAGTTATCTAAGCACATGGTACTGTTTTGACGTTTTGGTTTGGTGGGTTTTTTCCTTTAAAAAAAGCACACTTGATTCTTGAGTTGCAACGGGTAATAAAGGTGCATTTAACTGGTGCAGTACTGGTCAATGTTCGTTGCATACTTTGTTTAGGTAAAACTAGCTATTTGTCTTGATCTGTTGTCAGACTATTAATGCTTTATTTATATTAACATATAAGGTGGTACTATGGAGGTGGAACAAAATCCAGTTGTGCTGAGGAACAGATGTTGAAACTACTGAGTTGTGGGGAGAGGAGGAGCTCAGGCTAGTCTGGTCCCATCAACAGAACACCTATTAGCAGTTAGTGCAGTAAATGCAGTCATCTTCGGGTTTAGTTTCATCCAGAGTGAGTTCTGTTATGCACTCCTAAGACTATTCAGTGATGGAAACCAGAAGGTAGTAAGTGAAAATCACCAGAGGATGAGCAGAAAGGATTGCTTCAAAAGCATTTTCCTAATCCCAGCTAAAATGCTGATTTAGAGACCTCCCCGGTTCCTGACTGAAGAGAACACTAAGCATCATGTAGCTGTGGTGTGAAAGGAAAAGGGAAAGTATTTGAAGTTTGTTTCCCTGTAAACTGACTGAATAATGTTGCTTTTTTCATTGTTCTGTGATAGACTATGTATGGTACCTGTTGAAAAATAGTATTAAACTGTGATACACAGGAAAGCATTTTTAGCAGAGCCTCTAAAACTTGCGAAAACTCCAGCAGGAACCTTTGCTTTCAGTACTTTTTTTTTCCCTCCCCCAGAAGATTACTTGTGGAAACAATTCTGAGGAAGAGCTAGCAGTGATTTTTAAGGGGATGGTCACTTCATCAACTTCCTCATGATTCTCTTGCAAGGTTTATAGGCACATGAATGCACACATCTGTTCCCAAAATCCTGTAGGTTCTTCCACAGACATACCAGTTCCACAACCTTCTTAAGAAACAAAACCTAAGGCCAAATGTTGTAATGGCTGATAAATTGTCGTAGTACCATGTGTGGAAAGGATTTAGTTAACTCTTCAGACCAGGCTGCTTTCATCTGAAAAGTCTAAATAAAAATCTGTCTTTCCAATAGTCATTATGAAATATTTTTTTCAACAAGCACAGAGTGTGGCTTTTTGTAGTTTCTGAGACAATATTTGGTCTCTGTAGTTGTCAAACTCATCTTCTCTGACATAATACTGGAAGAGCAGAGCTTCTTAAAGTGCATATACTTCTTGTAGTAGGGAAGGAAAGCTCACACCTGTAGACAGTTTTATACAGGTTAAACTTTTTTGTTTTAAATATGTTCTTTAAATGTATGTGCTCAAGCAGTTTATGAAACAGATTTTTCTTAGAAAAGAAGGAAGCAGCTTAAATTTCACACAACAGAGAAGGACAAAGGGATTCACAAATGGTTCTGGTTTCAGTTTTGTGGTGTATTTTCTGTGCTTGATGCCAGCCACAGCTGTGTTTTTCATCTACCACCTTGCAACATATCATATTTCTAACCAGCATTTTAGTTCTTAGAAATGGGAGATTACGTCACTGTGCTGTCATTCACACGCTTCATTGCTAGGCAACAGTTAATGTAATTCCATTGTTCAGTGACACCACTTTGAATCTTTGCTTTGTATAGAGAAATTGTACATCTGCATTTTGTGTTGTTGTACCTAACATGGCAGGATTTGTATAGTTGGATTAGCATTTCAACATCTTTTGTGCAAAGGGGCAATTTTGTCATAGCTTCTTCACTTCAGATTTTCTTGTCTGGAGAAGGTGTCTTGCTGTTGGACTTTGTTACTGTTGACTGTTACTGAATTTTAGATTCACTACCGTTGTATCTGCATAACACCTTTTATTGGATGAATGTGAGCTTCCTGGATGCTTTTAATATTCCTGTGGAGTACACACTTAGCTTCACTGCAGAAATGGAGGCAGGTGAAATACACTGCTCAAATACATGCAGGACTGATGATACTTTTGAGCTGGCTCTTAAAACTCTTTCCTGCGACACAGTGTTTCTGTAACAAAGTGCTGCAGGGGATATTCCATACATAAAGTATTATTCTAGTAATGGTTATGCAGTGCTGTTTTATAGGAAGTAGTTTCATTGCAGTACATCTAGTAAATAGTAGCAAACAGTGCTGAAATACTGGGTTCCAGTTTGCTTATGGCTTGTCTTGTTCTGTGCCACACTGGATGGGTTGTGCAAGGAGGCTGTAGAATCTCCATCCTTAGATTTTCAAGACTTTGGGCAAAGCCTTGAGCAACCTGGTCTAGATTCATTGTTGACCCTACTTTGAGCAGGAAGTTGGACTTTATCTCCTGAGGTTCCACCTGGCCTGAATTATTGATTCTTTTGTTCTACAATAACATGACCCAGTCTTGTAGCATTATAGCTACTGGAACTAGCTACATGTGTGTCTGTCTGTCCTCCTCTTCCCAGTGCAGGGATAAGGGGTGGTTACAAGGCCACTGAGTGGGAAAGGAGGGCTGGAGGCAGCCTGCAATCTTCTTCCTCAGATCAGAACTCAAGTGTGTAATATTCCAGTTGAGTGAACTCTTGTGTTCAAGGTATCAATTGGATTCTAATGGGGACAATAACCTTTACAGCAAAATTAAATTCCCTGGGTCATAGCTTAGTCATTGCATCTTCTGAGCGGATTGTTTTAGCTTAGCTTTGTATTGGGACACCATGAAAGTGTGTCATGAAATATTCAAATTATATTGTCCACCACTGCAAATCAATTTAATATAAAAGCTTCTTTTTAATACATAACAGGACTGTTTCATTCTGCAGTGAGTGCAAAGACAGTTATGAAAGACATTTGTAAAGCAAAAATTGGTCAGGCCCTATTATTGTGAAATAAATGTATGTTAGCTGCCTCCTCAAGCAACAGCTCTCTGTCCTTCGCTAAGTCTGCTCAACTTAAAGTGAATGAAGGTATCTGTGTTGGAATCTCTGTAACTGTAAGGCAGGTAAAGTCATATCAGACTAAGTGCTTAGGTTTTGGTTTAAGTCTATATGGTGGCAGATCCACCCTACAGGTCTTATTTGCAGTAACTTATGTGATATGTTTGTTTAATAAAGACCACTTTGTATAATGAGCCTGCTGAGAACATCTCTCAAAAACTGGAAAGTTGCATAGTATGTGTCTCTAAGTATTTGGTTCTGTCTTTTAATAATTGGCATTTTATATTTGTTCCTAATTTGTTCCTACCTGCTTTGTTGGTTGGAACCAGATTTTTCTGGTGCTGTGAATTCTTCAGGAAGGCTGTTGTTTCTAGAAGTTTCTTTCAGTAGCAGAGGTTAAAGTATGCCGTGTGTGTATCTATTCTGTTCTAACATTAAAACATAGGTAGTAATCAGCAAAATGGAAGAATAAACAGTGGGTAAATAAAAGATAAAAGAACTGCATACATGTTCTGAAAAGCTGCTAAATAGCAAATAATTTGTTGTTTGGATGTGCTGGAATTCTGTTCTCAAAAATATGAGACAGTTTGTGAATATTAGACTATGTAGAAAGTGTAATTCACTGCATGGGAAGGAAATATTTGAGAACAGGGCACAAGATTTTGGTGTTCATAGCATGGTTACCCTCCTTTCTTAACCTATGTGCCTCAAAAGACTTCCATAATGTAGTCAAAACTAAATGTGCTTACGTTAAATGCAGTTTGAAAATTACTGGCTAGCCTCCATTTGAGATGTTCCTAATAAACGTATGCTATAACCTAGCAAAGATGTCTAAATTACCAAAAAAATAATTTCAGAATAAGACTACTTAATGATAAAATACCAGTTGCAAAGTAGCCTTGCTGAAAGGAGGTTTTGGTGTTCACACAAACTTATCATGTTATTGTATCTATTGTAGGCAGCAGCAGGCATACTGTGCTACGTGGGAGCCTATGTGTTCATCACATATGATGACTATGATCACTTCTTTGAAGATGTCTACACACTAATTCCAGCAGTTATTATCATAGCTGTGGGAACACTTCTTTTTATTATTGGACTTATTGGGTGCTGTGCCACAATTCGAGAAAGTCGCTGTGGACTGGCTACGGTAAGTTGGAGGGTTTTTATATGATGCTGTTTGCCTGTTGTATATTTGTCTGCTTTCCCTTTTAATAGACTTAGAATTTTTTTTTAAAGTTTGTTCTAATCTTATTTTATGGCCTTAGAAGTTTTCTCTGTATATTTTTTTTATTAATGTCTTATTTCAATGTTCTCCTCTGAATAATGATGTTAAGTTAGCCAGTTCTGGCAACAGAAGGCTCCTCAATTTTACCTTTTTTTAGCACTGTGATCATCTCATTAAGGAAATGTAAAGCTATGCGATTAAGTCATAACAGTTTTTAAATATCACTTTCATCTGTTCTGGTTGAAAAGCTGGAATTAAACAGAGAGAAAGGTGATTCAGGAGCCTCCTTGTTTTAAGTGTCTTGGATCAAGGTTAACTGAGGGTTATTTTGATGCCTAAATATTTCTCTTTATGGCCTACTTTGGGCACTTTGTGGTATTTTATGCCATTTGTTTCCAAGCATTTTAACTGCAATTTCAGCTTGAGAATTAGGTAGGGGAGAAGAGAGGCCAGTAGTTAAACTGTTCACACAGGTTTTATTTTTGTTTTTTTATGGGGTTTTTTTTGTTTGGATAGTGTGTGGACTTCATTAACAGTTTGTTTTAAAAGTGCTCTTAAATATATCAAGACAAATGCATAGCTTGCTGTCTGTCAGTTGTTACAGGATTTATCTGAAGAAACAATGCCTTAGTCCATCTACCACTCTTAGTAACAGCCTAGGTAGCTTCTTTGATGTGACATTCCTATTTAACTAACTGAGAGAAGTTTGAAAGAAACACTTGATTAAAGCGCTCTAGTATGGTATTTTCAGTCCTAATGATCAGTACTTGCCTGGCTGGGCAGCTTCTTATTACTTTACGAAGTGATGAACACTAAAGTTTCTTGAATGAAGTTAATTCTGGGCTCATTTGGTCAACTTAATTGCCTACTTTAAGCAATCTGTTAAATCAAAACCTTACCTGAAAAATTACTTTAAATAGTAAATTCTATGTAGAGACTTTCAGAAAGTAAATGGGTAGAACTGTTTGCACAAACACTCTTGATTGTATTTTACAGTTTGTGATCATCCTGCTCTTGGTTTTTATCACTGAAGTTGTGGTGGTGGTTCTTGGATACATTTACAGAGCAAAGGTAATAACTTCTCGATCTCAGTAAACATTTTGTTCTGAACGGTGACCAGAATACAGAGGTGCAGTCTTTACTGTATTTGATTCTGTAGAACTGTTAATGGGTATTTGCTAAGGGAATAAAACCAAACCTCTAGGTGGGATAATTTGAGATACCAGTATCTTAAAATTTAGAACATCAGTATTCTTCAAAGTAAAGCAGAAGGTATTCCAGCTAGGTTTTTTTGCCTACTAGAAAATATAATTAACAGTTGAACAGTAGAGGGGATTCATGTTAATTGGTACCTTTCCATTTTGTATATGGTCTTCTAATTCATTTATGCTTTGACTTTGTGACACAATATTTGAAAATATTTCGTATCAAAACAATGTGCCCTAACTTAAATGTTGTCTTATATTTTGGCATACAAGCTACACTGCATAATAATAAAATCAAATAGATTGAATGTGTTAATGTATACTGTCTAGCTGTATACAGGTTGTTGACAAGGGTTATGGCTAAAGAAGTTGTGACTTCTCCCACTGTTTAATGGAAGTTAAGAAACAGGACCAAAAACAAAAATGGTGTTTGTACCAGTATAATATGTGGCAGAAATGTGCCGCATGGTATTAAAGATACCACAATCTAGCCTGAAGACAAGAAATTTTGAACTTGGACAGTTTCACTGACTTTTGTTACGTCTGCATCTAAATTTTGCCAAAAAATTAGCAGAAAAGGCGTTTTTAGCTGTGATGTGTAGTGTGATTGCATTACAGGACACTCCAGTGATATCTTAATAGCAAGCTGATCTGCAACAACATTTACCTTTCTCTAGCCTCTGTGTTTATGTAAACAACAGAGGTCTTACTAGTTCAGTATTCTGTCCTTCTTGCTTTCTCCTGCTACCCTGGAAGAAACAGTGAGACAACCATTAAGTAGAAATGTAGTGTTTTTATGTGGTTTACAAAGGAAGGCTGCCTTGAGTAAGCAGGTAACAAGGGAACCTTGAAATATACATATAAATCTGGCTTAATAACAGAATAGGTTGCCTCAACAGAAATGCTCTATGGGCAGTGCTCAAATTCAGGATATATTTTTCTCATGGTCTGCATTTGATTTCTGGTATCTTGTCAGTGCACTGAGAAGATGATTTGGGACTCTGAAGCTTGTAGTGGAAGCAGTCCTTAAGCAACTGACGAGAGCAGTACAATTCTTGGAGAATGGGAAATACGTTGATTTCTTACGTGTTAACTTGAATGGTTGCTTTCTGCCCCACTACTTGCAGAGGCACAGTGTATAGTTACTCAGGAATTACCATGGGTCTGATCTGGACTAAGCAGTGGTCATCTTATTCTCTTCTGTGTTCCAGTCTTAAAGTGGCTTGCTCTTTTCCAGTTAACAGCATTCAGAGCAGATAAAAGCAGATGCATAGATCTTTCTTCCTTAGCCCATCTGAAATTACACACTTGAAACACTTGAAAATTGGGTTGGTCCCAGCTGCATCTTCCTGTTACTTCTCATTTTTGTCTTGCTACTGTACAGTTTCATAGCTGTAGGTAAGGCAGGATCAGAGAGCATCAGGGAAGAGGGAAGGTAGTCTCTTTTTGGTGGCAGTGTGGTCGTACCTTAAACCATTTGTGGGAGTCAGTATTTGGAAACTAAATCTTAAATCTTCTGAAAGGACAGACAGGTTTTGTTAGTAAAAATGGCAGGTGTCTACTACTGTGAAGTACTTAGCATCTCAAACTATTGTTTTCAAGTGCAACAGGAGTGTCAGAAATAACTTAAATTTATTACCAGTGAACTGGGAGGTGAAATCTGTTTAGGTTTCTGGTTATTTGCCAGGATCAATAAGGCAGCTCTGTGCTTTGCTAATTTTGTTTGATTGTTTCAGATGTGACATGTATAGTTCAGTGGGTTTGTGTTGTGGTTTTTTTTAAAGACACCTGAATCGTGTTAGAATTACTTCCATGTTAACTGTACAAACTTCCAAACAGAACTTTACAAACAAAAGGAAGGACTGAAGTCATGGCAGTTGTTAACAAAAAATGTTGGTACCAAGTGAGACTGAGTATAATATTGTCTCTAAGTGGCATTGTGCCCTTTTAAGTTAAGATACAATGACTGATCTTAAAATCTGTAAACCTGCATGTGTGGATCCAATTCACACTCCTGTTCCTTCAGAACAACATGACGCATGCCTAGGTCACGTAGTGGTAGACCAACATACTTCAGAATCTGCTGGCATTGGTCCTTATCAGGAAAAGTAAGGCTTCTTGTAAATGGCAGTAGGGACTAAACAGGCTGTCAGTCAGTTGAAGACTAATTGGCTTTTTTCCCTGGGTGGATTAGTTCACTCTTCATTTTTCGTAAAAACTGCCAGGTAGCTAGAGCTAGTGACTTCTGTTGGCATTGTGTGGAATTTGCATGGCTTTCAGGCAAGCACTGAAATAAATTACTTAAACCTGTATGACAGATAGGAACAGCTATTTTGTTAAATGAATCAGAGTTGTAAATCATGTTATTTAAATCATCAAACAATTGATTTTAAACTAGTCTGAAATAAGATGCCTGTGCAGGCTAAGTTGACTTTTTATTCATATATGTCTTGATAAAGATTTATTTGTAAAGATAATTAGCATTCTTGGGTGGTGGGGAATGAAACGTGTGCTATTGCTGCTGAAAATTCTTCCCTTAAAGCATTTAAGGAAATGATGTGTTGGCAAGACCTTCCTACTGTAACTTGTAAATCTAAAGAATATGCATGTTTAGTTAATGTTCAGTCCTAAGATTATATTCCTTGCACATGATTCCTCTTGAATGTGATCGGGGGGAAAAAAAAATCACTTCAGAGCTAGGCTTACTATTGTACAAATGTTTAGCTACACCAAACTTTCTGTGCATTTAAGTAACAGTTTACAGTGGAACATACTACTTAAAAGGTTTTAGTAAGATTTCCTCCCAAATAGGCATTATTAGAATTGTTCCCCCATTTGGGGGGAACAAGTGATGATTCTTGGGTGGAATCCATTTCAAACACATGCACTTGACAGCATCTTTAGCAGCTTGACTCATCTGCAGTTGCTTTAGGAGCTATTCCAGTAGCTGTTGCTATGTACAATTTACTGCCATCAGCATTTCTCAGGAAGTGGGGGATGACTGGGACTGAACAGAGCTCGGTCACTGTAGAGTAGAATAGTCAGCCAAAAGACCTCATCTTTGAGAACCTGTCCTTCAGCCCAAATGGAAAGAGCAGGTGGTATGACTTGCTCATATCCTTGTGGTGCCAAAGGGAACGAGTTAACCCAGATGGTTGTACTGGTTTTGGTTTAGAACTTTGAAGGAGTAGGAAGTGGAAAGACATGCTTATGGAGAGCCTTCAACTTCATGGAATGTCTGCCACAGTGTTGGAATAAAGGCAATTTCCTTTTTGAAATGCATTGCAAAGCTACTTTGTCTAAAATCTTACGGAAGACAAATAGGTGCTTGTTTTTTTTTCTTGTCCGTTAGCTGCAAGCTAGCAACATCTTTGCAAGACTCAGGGTAGAATTTTAAGAAGCTGTACCACCAAAGTATGCTAATTTCAGATGGCGGGGTTACCTTGATTTCCTGAATTGCTGTAGTTAGAAGTGAAATAGTTTTACCTAGACCTGTACTGTATCTGTTGGTGTGCTAATGCAGCTGTTTTGCTAATACTTCACAGGTGGAGGTTGAAGTTGATCACAGCATTCAGAAAGTATACAATGGATACAATGGGACAAATCCTGATGCAGCCAGTCGTGCTATTGACTATGTACAGAGGCAGGTGAGAATGCGAGACACATGGGAACATTCCTGTCCTTTCTGTCCTTAAAACATAGATGCTGTGTTGCTCTGCTACTTGTGTAGCATATCTTTCGCAATTCTGACAAATCTAGGAAACAGATGATTGGTCAGTCAATAGCTTAACTTGGTTAAAGTTAGTAGAATTATGGCATCGTTGATGGGGAGACACGTTTTGGGGAATTGTCCATCTCTGAATCGGTGTTTGGATTCAAATATTTAGTACTTATGTATTTTTCTGCAATGTTCCATTGCAGAATATTCTCGTGTCTGCACAGATTTATCTAGAATATGCTGGGGGGAAAAAAGTGTTCTTGGTTGTATCTGAAAGCTAGTGTCACAAGCTTCTGGATTCAAGGCTAAAAGAACTGATCAGGCTTGGTTGTATCTGAAAGCTGGTGTCACAAGCTTCTGGATGCAAGGCTAAAAGAACTGATCAGGCTTAAGGAAGATTCAGGAGCTTTCAACACTCTTACAATTGGATCAATTTAAAAAGTCATGTTTACATATTAAATGCACGTAAGTTGGTCATACTACCAATTAATACCTTGCTTGAAATCCCTCCTGAAAGGAAAGAAGGACAAGAAGCTGATAAATTGTCATTCTAGGGCAGTACTTCTATTTGAGGCTGTACTGTGTGCAAGAGAACTCCAAGGACTGCAATAGAGTATGAGCTCTCAGCAGAATGGAACTGTATTAATTTTTAGTTGGTTCAAAAGCTTTCTACATGACCACATGGACATGTGACTATATTAAATGAACTTTAGTTCTGCACCACGGTTCTGTGAGAAGAGCAAATTCTGGTTTATGCCAGAACTGTGTCCAGAAAACAATTTTTTTCAAGCATCTCTTGTGAGCTTTAAGTATAAAGCTGTTCTAAGACAAAAATAAAGCTTTCTCTTGTCTGGGAGGCATGAGGGAGAAGGGAGTTGTCAGATGTTCCCCAGGAACTGGAATGACAAGTCTGTGTTTTGTAAGGAGTATTTTAAATGTTTTAAGGCTATAGGCCCCTTTACAATACACTCAGTCTGTGATTTGCTTAAGTAACTGTCAAATTTGTATTATTCAAATAAGAAATGTAGCCTAATCTTAATAAGCTTGCATTCTTGGTATTGCAGTTAGAATTGCTGTCTCATCACACTTGACTGATAAACACGTTGGCTCTTTACCTCTCTTTTTCAGCTGCGCTGCTGTGGGATCCATGACTATACAGACTGGGAAAATACTGTCTGGTTCAAACAAACTAAAAACAACAGTGTGCCGCTTAGCTGTTGCAAAGCAGCCCTCAGCAATTGTACTGGCACTTTGACCCGCCCTATGGACCTTTATTCTGAGGTAAGACAGCCAAACTATGAACTTAGAGAGCCATGTGCTTTTGCTGACAATGACTTAATTTTCTTTTTAGTGGGAGCATGAAGTCTTGGATGTATTTCCTTTAACCAGAAATAAACATGATTTCTAGAGGCGAAAAAAAAAATTTCTCCTCTTTTCATCTGTGATACACCAAGTAATGATGTTCTTTAGTGTTTGGATTATCTTTCTACCTTTGCTTTTGAGGTTTTTTTTGTGTGCCTAAATGTGGTTGCCAGATGGATATATGAGAATTCTATTTGTTTCAGGGGTGTGAGGCTCTGGTTGTAAAGAAGCTTCAAGAGATCATGATGTATGTCATCTGGGCAGCACTAGCATTTGCTGCTATTCAGGTAAGAGAATATTCTTGAGCTGTAAACTTTTTCTCAAGTGAAATTCTGAACTGCTGTCCAGGTTGTTACAGGTATGCATAGGATGACAACAGCTTTAATCCCTGCTTGGCTGGGGGGATAAATGGAGTCAAAAGCATCTAAACACTTTTAACACAGAAGTTAACCGTGCGTGGTCTAAAAACTACTGCTGTGTGGATGTATGTTCCACTAGACCTGAAGATGGGTGAACAGTCAGTGTTACGTAATCTACTAAAATGTAAATGGTAAATTATATCTTGAAAACTAATTATCTAAGCATTAAGTATCATGAATGTGCTCTGGCATTTAACGTTTGAAGAATTTGCATAGTATTTGATTTCCAGCTTTAAAGGAGATAGCTCATACTTCGTGCCATTTTAGAGGTACATCAGCTTAACTATGCTTCATGGCATACAAATAATGTCAAGACCACCCAGGAGATACACCAGGGTTTCTGGTAGCATACTTTGCTCTTGTTCACCTGAGTTTTGCATTGTGTCTTGAAGATTTCTTGGTTTCTGGACTTCAGCCAAAAAAAAAGATTGTAAACTGAAGACACTGCCTACTTAAAATTGAGCACAGGCTGTCTCTGGCATGAACCTTAATTATTAGTTACCCTGCTCATAAAAAGTAACTGAGGGAAGAGACTAATATGTATCTCAGTATTCATTTAGATATTTTTTTTTAAGACTATGACTGTCTTCTAAACATAGCTGTAAAATTGGAATTTTGAATGCTCATCAATTTGGCGGACTTAGTACATTAATCTATTTTTTTTCAGACTTTGCCAATGTTATGTCCTCTGAGAAATGTAGTACATATGCAGAATCCCAAGCAACTTGAAAACTAACTTCAAACTTACTTTTGGCCCTTAATAGTGTTTGAATTCAGAAAACATTGTACCTGTTGGGTCAGGTGGTTTACGCACTTTTGTTTTCAAAAGCAGCTTTTCAGCTGGATTTTATGTTTGCAGGTAAATAATCTTTTGCAGACAGTCTTGTGAAAATATGGTTGAATTTCTGTTTCAATGCTAGAAGGATATACTCATTGGTAATATTGCATACAGTAATATTGTTGAACTGTCCACAGCCAGATTACTTCAGCTGTGGAACTTTAAATTTGGTGAGATCTGTGCTCAGTCTTCTGAAGGAAGGTATTTTTTAAATTACAACCTTTAAAACTTTAACTGTTAACACAATAGTCTGTTTGAACACTGAAGTATATTTGTGTACCGTAAATAAAGTTATTTACCACAACCATGGTTATGGTGGCAGATTTTTTTTCTGTAGGGGAAAAAAAATGTATATTATGAGTCTGGATGAGCTGAATCCCAAGAAGAGGTATTATTCCTAGCTTTGGAGTTTGCAGGTTGATTAATGGATCTGCCCGAAGATACAGCACAGTTGTAATCCTCTCTGGGATTGGGCCAGATTTTCTGACACGTGCTTGTGGTGGAAATATGGCTGCTTGCATCCTTCTGTTATTCCTGGCTCATCAATCTTAGGCAGGCATGTTAGTTGTATCCCTTCTGCACTGGGTGCTCTTTGATTTGTCTCCACATGTCAGTAACTGAGCTATTGGCAGAAAGTACATATTGTATAAACAGTTTGTCAAGAAAATAACATCAGAGAAATTTCTTTGCTATTGCTGCAGTATAGCACTTCGAAATCTTTTTGCTTAATGTTAAAACAAGCTACATTATACTTGTTTATTTATTGTCTAAATACAGAATACAGGGTGTTGGGAATACTCTTGAAATTTCCATCAAGTAACACTCACCGAGTGGTAATCCCTTTTAAGTGTCTTATCAGAGATCATGTTATTGTATCTTTGTGCCACGGTTCAAATGGTTATAAATTCACGTTTTAACAATACATTAGTTTCAGTCAAGTTGATACTAAACAGTATTCAACTGTTCTATTATTTATCTCCTGCAACTTAAGCCATAAGTTGTGACATGCTCTTATTTGTAATACAGAATTTATGTAGGTACTTAGCCTGATTCTCAAAAGAGTGGTCTTGTGAGCTAATCGAAATGGAGGGAAGAATGTAAACTTCAGAAAATGGCCTGTAACCTAGGTCATGGCCTGTAGACTTAGAGGAGTAATTATGTTTTCTTACCTTTTGGTGATTTTTTTTTTCCCCTTACCTTCCTTGTATTCACTCTGAACCAATTGTTATTTCGGATATGATGCAGTAAGGCTGTCCAAAGTTTGTTACTTCTAACGCTTACATTTTACAAATTTAGCCTTCAGTACTTTCTTTAAAACAAGAAGAGTGAGAAGAGGAGAATTTTTGCAAGGCTTGGAATTTGTGGAAAGCTTAGTCTTTTCTGCATAGAAGTAATTTTTGGTATATTCATGTTTCAGTTACCATGGGGATCTTCCAGTGTGGAATAATTCTGTGGTCTCAACCACAGTGACAGCACAGAACTATTAATAAGTAGGAGGCAAAGTGAAGGGAGCAAAGGCATTGCAGTGCAGTAGAAGTGCTGCTTGATTAGCTGCAGAGTTCATTCTTAAAGATAGCTATGTAGTTAGTGAACATTTAAAAGGTACTGAGCTTGGCTTATATATATAGACAGTGAGCTTTTTGTACAAAAAAAAAAAGAGAGCCTCGGTGAAAGCAAATTGAATATAGTTACTGCTAGCAGGCAAGTAAAAAAAAAAAATGCATAAAACAAAAAACACACAGAACCTGAAAACAAACCTTCTGATGGTGGGAGATGGGTCTAAACTTTTCTGAAGGTTGAAGAAGAGAGGGATGCATGGATTCTTCCTCAGCGCAGACCTCTAGAATATATTTGTTCACAATGTGAAGTAGCAACTGAAGAGAAACAGAATCACATGCCTTAGAAAAGGTTTGAGGTGCTTGCATACTTTTTAAAATTACATGCTAAATAACTTTTGTAGAGAAAGTTGAAATACAGGCATTATTTTTGTGCCTACAGTGAATTCTAGGAATATGCTCACTAGCCTCTTAAAGGATATAAATGGCTTAAATGATAACTCAAAAGTTGATTACATGAGTTCTTATTACAATACCTGATTGTTTCAGATTTTACACAACTCTGTTTAAATTGAATGTCTTGACTGAGTCCTTGGCAAGGATTATCTTTGTGTGAATATCTGTAAATGTGATGGAACTACTTTTATTTATTTGAAATACATTACTAGAATGAATTATAGCAAATGACTAAAGAAGGTGTTTTTTCTGCAGCACACTCTTCATTTTATCCTTGTTTTGAACAGGGGAAAAAAGAGAAGCTCTGTATTTGCAATCTGCAAGCCTTCTTCAGAGTTCTGTAGCCACTGACAACTACCCTAAACTTTCCATCTCAAGTCTCATTTAAGGTTTTTTGTAATTGTGAATAGTAACTCCTCACTTAAAAGGACTCTGTCTATGCAGAGTCATTCTCTTATGTAACTGTTTTTCTCTTACTCTGACATGGATATGCATCTGTTTGGGAATTAATCTGTAAATTGGAACCACGCAAATACTGATGAAAAGTGAAGAAAGGTGCAGTTTTTACCAGCAGGCTGAAGTGCCATACTCTAGGTTACTTTCCATGTGCTTTTTTGAACCCAAGCTAATTTCTGCTATAAATCCAAAGCAGATAATGGACTCCAGGCAAAGAATGTTATTAATCTTTACAGCTTGTCCCTTTCCAGGAAATTAAAAGCTCATACTAGAATTTCATCGTGCCTCTTTTTAATCACTTATTTAGACTTAGCATTTTTAAAACATTCTCTCTTCAGTCTTTAGCAGACTTGAGTACTATGTTGCATGTACCATCATTTAGGTTTAAAACGTGTTACACCTGTGATGTTTGCATCAAACTTTATTTTTAGAAGTAATTCTGCTTTTGTCCCAGTGCTATATTTTCACTGGGTTTTTGCACTATCAGTGAAGAAGCTTTACATTTGGCTGGCTGCTCACCCATTTCATGTTTGCTTTGTGTTCAAGGGTGTTTTTGGGTGGTTTGGGTTTTTTGTTTGTTTTTTAGAAACTTGTTTACCTTCTGGGTGATACTTCATAATCCAGAGTTATGACAGGAGCCTCTTGGAATATTTGCATCTGTGAATAAACTTCTATTCATATAAGTAAATAATACAATCTCTTATTGTACTAGAAGCTATTGCCAATTTTTGTAGGCCGTAGAACACAGCACTGTACCTGATTTTTTTTTAGTAGGTACAGTCTTATTGTCCCTTCAATAAACATGCACTTCTGTGAAAATATCATGCCCTACTACATCCGTGACTACATTCATCTGATTTAAATCTTGTATATGGGTGATCATACCCTAAATTCCTGGCAAAGGTGCCAGCACAGTCATGGTACTGTGAATTTTAACAGCAGGAAAATGTCTAGAAGTGAATAATTCACATTGGACTTAAGCTCTCTGATCTGACATGTTAAGAGATTGAGCATTTGAAAGAGATTTCAGCAGTGAAGTAGGTTCATAAAACTCAAAAGTTTAGCTCTTTTTCATCATAGCAATTAGAGGCTAATGCATTTGAATTTCACTTTCATTTTTTTCATGCCAGATACAGTATCTGTACCATTCATTTAAAAATCAGTGGTTTCTTCCATCTGAATTACTGAGGCAGAATACAAATGACTTAAAAAAAACAAACCACCTTTTATTAAAGATGTCCAAGACAATCTTGCAAGTAAGTAAGGCTGGAGTTCGTGGCCCTTGCTTTTTGCAGCAGGAAATGAAGCCTTTTCAAGAACAATGCTTTTGTTGCCATTTACCTTATGGACAATGACAGTCTTGCGAAGCATGCTGACAATTTCTGTGCTGAGGTTGAATCTCTTGAAGTACCTTCTTTGTGCTCAGTTTGTTTTCTTTTTTTTTTCTCCATAGCTTCTGGGCATGTTGTGTGCCTGTATAGTACTATGTAGGAGGAGTCGGGATCCTGCCTACGAACTTCTCATCACTGGCGGAACCTACGCCTAGAAGAGAATGCGAACACACAGTTCAATCTTATCTTGCTTGTGTGGAAGGTGAATGGGCCAGGTCTACTGCTTTCTTGCCCTAAGCTTAGTCAATGCACACCTTTCACAGATGAGGACAGCCGTACTGTACACTGGTGACGGGCAAAACAGCTCAGCTTTACACACACCCATATAATTACCTGTGACTTTCACTGTTTTAGCCAGCTACTCATGTATCTAAATGTTTTAGTATACTAGTAAACTTTCTAATTTCAGACCCATTTGCAATGTAAGTGTAATTTGGTTGGTATGAAAGTCAAAGGATGTGTGCCTCCTTTGGTAGATTACCTCAAAGCATTAACTGACTGATTTTTGCATATAGAGAGAGGATTTCTTAAACCTTCTGTACACAAAATTTCTTTTGGCCAAAGCTGTACAAAGTAAGCTAGCTGTATTTCATTTGAGGAAGTAATATTTTAATCTTGCCCCTCACCAGTGTCACTTTTTTAAAAAAAAAAAACAACACTTCAGTCCAGTACCCTTTATATATAAAAATTGAAAAAAAAAAAAAAAGAAAAAAAAAAAAAAAAAAAAAAAAAAAAAACAAAAATTTTACAAAATTTTAGAATCATGTGACTGCAGCTTTGACCTTCAGAGATCAAATCTTTCAGACATTAGTGGTTTAAAATACAAGCTGGCTTTTCAGGAGTATAATGTATGCACTACTGTTCTATAATGAAATATTTCATTTTTCTATGAAGAGCG